GGTCAGTGGTCAGCTCCACTCTCCGGCCGCTTTGTTCTCGGAAAAAGAATGTCCGGTTCCTCGTTGTTTAGGACAGTGGTATTCAACCTGGGGTACGCGAAGACATCTTAGGGGATACGTGAAATTTAAATATATATATTATTTTATGATAAACACTGAATAATTAGTAATTTAATTTATTTAATTTATTTTAGATGTAGATTATATACTGTGTATAACTTGAATTATGCACCAACAACTTTGGGGGGTACAAAGTTGAAGAAAAATTTTATCTGGGGGTACGCGAACAAAAAGGGTTGAATACAACTGATTTAGGAGACTGGCTGGGCCCCGATTCCCGGTCCTAAATGTTGTACAGCCCTGATTGAGCTATGTAAGTTTGTCCTGTTTTGTAGGAACTGATGATCTTCGAATATATTGTTTAGAGAAGAGGTGTCATTTCATTGATGCTGTCTAACGTTTTGGCCAGTGCATCTGAACGAGATACCGATTTAAGAATTTATAGCCGTGTTTATGATTTGTCTACGTACAAAATTTCATTAATCTACCTCAAGCGGTTCATTGTTTATTTGCCTTCAAAGCGAATGTCATGTATAGATTTCGGGAGAATTTTCATAAAAACGACGGACTTGTCCAAAGCAGCTGCTTTACTGCAACCTGAAAATCCGCTTGGCCGCCATGTTGGTGCTATTGATGGAAGGAAATTAAACAGTAGAAATACGCATATGATACTGTTGCAAGCCGCAAGACAGCGGTGACGTTAGAATTGGAAGATTATAATACGCTTAGGAAATGACCTCGTTTATTGGAAGATTTGTCTGCTGATGGAACAGGGGAAGATAACCGAGGTCAAGAAAGCTTTGCTTGAAAATCAACGATTCTGAACAGGGGTTGTTGTGCTATGAAGTACAGTAGCCTGCGTTATTTTAAACATATCCATACTTATAATGAATAAGTACCTGGTTGGAATCTGGGCTGGGGTCCCGACTATCCTGACTGAGATTTTATTGGCTTTTACTCAGACCCTCCAAGCGACTTTCGGGATAAGAGCTTATCGCAATAGGCCACTGTCTTTTTCTCTGCAGCAGTACGAATCCTTGAATCCATTTAGATGCTAAATGTCTGTGCAGTTAATACAGTGTCGTTAAATGACCGAAGCAGCCTACAGCCCAAATGTTTGCTCGTAGACATGTGAGGACAGTCTGATTTTATGACTGTGGGCCTATTACTGCGATTCCGGAGTTCTTATAAGACCGGCCTCATTAGCCGAAGTGTGATTTATTTTTCTCATGCAACAGGCTGTGTCGTTTTTACTGGCACACTGACATGGCACGTGAATCCAAAAGAGGTTTAATTTTGTGTAAGTTGGCAGCAGTAGGCCAGCACAAAAAGTTCAGTGATCAAGTCGCCACAGGAGACGTTGCGACGCAAGACAGATTTGTATGGTGACGTAAGTAAGGCCAAACACGATTCCAGAATCAATTGAATAAAAATCTTCTTGGATATTATCCATCGTCTAGTAAATATAAAACGTAAAACGACGTTTCGGAGATGGGA